AACTCATGACCTTCCACTTGCCAAGCAGGTGCTTTGCCGCTGAGCTAAATCCCCAGCCCCTGTTGTTATCTATTTTCTTGAATTATATGCCTACCACATGCAGATACATACAGTTGCAATGCTCTGTACTGGTACGCCATTGTGAACCTCTGCCCAGACCCACACATGGTGACATCACATTGGTGAATTTAAATCAACCATGGCACAAATATTTACACCACAGAAATCAGCAGACTGTGCTCTCCGGGCTTGATTTTTTTGTTTTGTAGATCATCTAGACTTAATAAAGTGATAGAGAAAAATAGTAATAAAGTACATTAAGTGTGAACATGTGCTGTGTCTGTAGCAGTGACATTGTGGATAACTCAAAATATTGAGGTAATGTTTTTCCAGTTTTTAAAAACTATTATTCAATTTGCAAAGAAGTGCTCATGCTATGGAAAAATTAATGAAGTTCTAAAATTCAGTCGTGTATACCTTAATGATGGGGATACATTCTAAGAAATATGTTGTTAGATGATTTATTTCATCATGTGTGAATAGCAGAGATAGAACTTAAAATGACTACAGAGTCACTAGGTGATACAATCTTTTTTTATATTATTAACTCATTTAATTATATGGAAACAGATACAGAGAAAATAAATAATTTACTTAAGGTCATAAAGCTAAGTAGTTCACAAAAGCTAGATATGAACCTAGGAATACCGGGTTGATTTTAATAACACTAGCTGGAATTTAAAATCTTTGTGTGAAAGCGTCTAAGTTGATACAGAAAAAAAGAGAAATGAAGAAAATGTTTAATAGAATAGAAAGCAGAAGGAGAAGCATAGGCAGGGGGTATAGCTCAGTGGCGAAAGTGCCTGCAAGCGCAAGGTCCAGAGTTCGATTCCTGGTACAAAAGAAAAGGAGAAACATAATAAAAGTAGACAGTCGGGAAAAAGAAGATCTCTGAAACTCTCTTGATCATTGCAATAAGTGTAAATGGACTAGCTTCTGCAGATAAAATAGGAGGTACAATCTTACAGGATATGGTCCTTTGTGGATCAGATCATTGATACGTAGCACCTGACTGGACATTGTTGTTGTTTTGCTTTTCTCTTACTCATTATTGCAAATGAAATTATCAAGCAGCATTCATAGCTGGTCTACAGCTGGAAAGGCAGGGTTAACACTTACCAGCACACTGCTGAGAAAGAGTATTAGGACCCACTCCCTTGGTGCTCCAGAAGGAAGATCATTACGGAATACCTACAACTAAGTAGGAAGGAGAGGGCCTGAAGGACCGTCATGAAGAGGAGATACTGTTGGGAAGACGTCAACACAGAAGATAAGATGGACAGCCAGCAGCAGAGACTTCCATGTGGAGAACAGGCTAGCTTTGCCTAACCGAGCACACCAATGGAGCACACAGAATCACTCCTAAATTCAAGGGTAGGCTTAGTACTGTATGTTCACAGTGCCTTGAAGTTCTAACAGCCTTTCCTCTGCATAAACTCATGTGATCACCAGAACAGAACTGCAAGGCCATCACCCTCTGAAGCTGGAAGCAGAGAACTGATCAGGACACAGACAGAGGAGTTGGGAAAAGCCAGATGAGCTGATGAGCTCTACTTCTGCACGTGTAGACGGCACCCTGCCAGCTTGGCGGGACACTGCAGAGGGCCTTTGGAGCAGTAACACTGATTCAAGAGGACCCACCCGAGGCTCTGGGGCTATCACCATCACAGTCCTAGCTGGTTCGAGATGCCACTAGAATGTTGCCAGCGCTTTTGTGTGTGCATGGTATCCAACCCCGACTTCTTCCCTGGTACAAAACAATCATTAATGCACCTGAGCATGAAGGACATAGAAAGGGGAGGGCGCCGAGGCTGAAGCCATGCCTCTGATCCTAGCACTCTGGGAAGCTGAGGCAGGAGGATCACAAATGCGAGTCCAGCCTAGGCAATTTAGAGATTTATTAAGACTGTCTCAAAATAAAGTGTTAAAAAAAAGGGCTAGGAATGTCACTCAGTGCAAAGGTCCTGGGTCCAATCCCAAGTACTATTAAAAAAAAAGTCAGTATGGATCCTCAAGGTAGAGCAGTGTATGCCACAGTCCCTGGTGTGTCCGCTCCACAGCAAGAAGGGAGCACATAAGCCATGGACTGGCACAGGCTGAGGTTACTTTCAGGGAGGGGAGAGAGGGAGGCGTGGTGTAAGGTGTTCCTCAGTGTAGCCAGGTATGCTTCCAGGATGGAGCGTCTGTCCCGATGCTGTTTCTACACAATTGGACGTGTTATTTATACTTGTGGGCGGAGGTGTAGAGTCCATGAGACGGGCACACAGCAAGTGGAAAGGCTCTTTTCAGAACAGTGATGATTTCTGAGACATTCATCCTTCTCGGTTGGCGCATAGATATTTTCTAATTTTCCTTTACAATTAATATATGTCATACTAGAAATTAAGAGACAAAGTTGATGGTTTCTTGTATTTTATGTGAAAATCTTAGTTACATATATAAATATACTCACATATTAGTATATATGAAACAGCTATATTCTTCCCTTATATAATTATATATTATAGACATACAATGCAAATTATATATATACTATAGTAGAATATATATGACTATTCAAAGAGAAATACTGAAAGGAAATATGACAAAATATTATCCATAGTTTTCTAGTTGTGTTTTTCTGTATTTTCCAAGTTTTTTGCATTGGGCATTTATTTGTGTAATGAGGAGAAAAAACTGCACATGTATGTGTAGGCATGTATGTGTGTATGTGTGTATTTTTTTGTGTGTATGAGTGCATATGTATGTGCACATGTACTTTACTCTCTGTGCTTTCTTTGGTGAAAATATTTTCTTTCTCTTTTTTTTTCTTTGAGACAGGGTCTTGTTATGTAGTGCAGACTGGCCTTGAACTTGCTATACAGCCCAGGCTGGCTTTGAAATCATAGTAATCCTCCTGTCTCAGCCTCCCGAGTGCTGGGATTATAGGTGTGTGCCACCACAGCTGGTGAAAAGAAATATTTTCAAATCATTTATAGCTCATTACTTTCATTTGTTTCCCTGGTGCAGATTAGCCGTCTGTTTTTCTTAACATGAAAACAGGCACAACTTTCTCCCTGCATTGACAGCTTCTAAAAGCTGGACTTGGGCCTTACTGTCGCTGCAGGCTTTGGTGCGTGTACCAGCTTGGCCTGGCCTGGCCTAGGATATAGTACTGGTCAGCACAGTAGGGCAAACCATGAATGAACATCTAGAGGTGTTTACAAGCAGCAAACAAAAACCACTCTGGAGAGAATGTTCTGGGCTTAGTCCCCTCGCACAAGGAGCACGCTTGTCACCGGGACGAGTGTGAGATTAATCAGGAGCACCAGCCACAGTGCAAAATGGGAGCGAGGTAACGAACCAAACACCCTTAGATGGGAGTGCGAAGCTTCATCCTGGCTGTCCATGCCCCAGGGGAGATGAACATGATGACCTCATGGTTATTTTCCATCCCGTATGATCTATGGGACTTCCCTGACGCTTGGGTAGCTGTTCGTAATTTGTTCTTTGGCTTGTACTTTCTAGATGGCGCTGAAGGAAAACAGTGATTTCCCCACTTTTTTTCTGGGCCATATAAATAGCAAAGTTTTAGTTTCCCACCCTGTCTGATTTGTCTCAGTCCCAATTATCCAATATGAGGAAGAGATTAGGAGAAAGAAAGTTCTGCAGTGGTGTGTTTGGACTTGGCAGGACCTCTGAGCTGAGGTGGGTCCACCTGTGGATGGGGTGGGACTCTCCGTTTCTACTCCAGCCTGTTGCCTGTGGACTCCTTAGAAGGTGGACAGGCCTCGGTCTCTGCCTGGAGTTTTGAATTCTCTGATGGAAGTTGGGTGTCATGGCGCATGTCGTCTGGAAGCACCTGAATGTTTTCCACTCAGCACAAATCATCCTTCCACAAAACAGTTTTTAAATCCTTCCCAAGCATGAGTAAGGATTGAGAAACAATAGAGGATTCGTGGTTTTGTCCAAATTACATGGAAAGTTCCAGGGGCTCCAGGAGGGAAGGATGGGAGGAGAATAAAAACAAAACATGAGGGGTCTCAGGATGTCCAGCTTAAAATATTAGCCTCTGGAATTCACTGAGTCTATAAATACCACTCTCATCACCTGGAGTTGTAAAGCTAACATTGTTTAGCTCCTCTGGCTTTGCATTTATGGTCTTGTTTGATTGCAACACATTGTTCAGCCAACCACCACCTCCCCTGGGCCTCTGTGTGAGTCTGGGACTGTCAGGGGATTGCCTTGAAAGGAAAACTTGTTATACCACTGCCCCCAAGAAGGGACCGTCTGTGTGCACTCAGTGTCATGAAACATTTCCTAGTTCTTCCTTGCTATCTATCTTTTTGGTCACTTAAATTCCTTCTTAGACAACCAATAAGTATTGCTGAAGTCCCTAGTGCGTTAAAAGAACTCTAGAGATGCTGTTGTCACATTTAAAGAATTCTGGGACAAGGCCGGGGAAACAGAGATTCATTAGAGGGACAAAGGCCAACACATCTGCAATGGAGAATGTATGGGACAGTTTTCAACAAGTAACTGAACTGTTCAGATTTGACCAAAGTGTGGCAAGTGGAGAGAGAGGCCGTGTAGACGCCCAGTCTCCAGAAGTTTGCTGGGGAGAGGAAGAATTTGAAGGGAGGACAGGACTGAAGCAGGACCTCTCAGGAGACGGGCAAAATGTAGCGAGATTGTGGGCAGAGGGAAGGAATTGAGGAAGGACAAAGAGTAAAGGGAAAGCAAGATACAGAGTGGGTTTTTAGGTTTGCTCAAGGTACAGTCCTGTGGGGGAAAGACCTGGGAAGGGTAGGACAGCACTGCGTTATAGGGCGGTGCTGGAAAGGGGCCGTAAAGCTGCTTCGTTAGTGCAAGTTCTTGTGTGCTGTTTTCTTAATAAAGATGTGTTGCCAGCCAAGGTTTGTCCAAAAGCCTGACGTTTGCCTTGGGCATCTTCCTCCCAGTTCCTTCCTCACACTGGCCCACCAAGTGTAAATTGCGTAGCAAATTGGCCACTCCATCAAGGGGGATTTGTCAAGTTATGGTAAGTACCCCAGGCTGGCTCTCCTTGGGTGGGGAATTTTACCAACAGATCTGGGAAGCGGATGGATCAAGCGTTTGGGCTGTGTCTCCACAGACTGTCATCTTGGGAGGGCCAGCGGCAGACGCTTGGAGCTGGCTGGCATCAGGGTGCAATCTGGTAGCCGCGGAAGAAACTCTTGTCCTTGGAGGGTCTGAAAGCCCACAGACACCTGCTTGGCTTGGCTCGCCTTGGCTAGTAGCGTTTCCAGCAGAGACGAGCGGGAAATGGAAGGGTGATTGAGAGCTGGCGGTGATGGGGAAGAAAGGATCTACAGTGCAGAAATGAGATATTTATGATCCCCTATCTGTAAATGCATAAGTTCCGGCCTTCGATCATGTTGTTGGTGAACATAATCAAACTTTGGCAGTGCTGCCTGAAGCCCTTCAGTGGAGAAGATAAGGGTAGAATAAACGTGACAGAAGGGATGATTCAAAGGGGCCAATGGCCGGGGAGCAAAGATGGACCCTACAATGCGACAAAGGATGTGAGGGGTCAGGATGTGAGAAGAAAAGCCATTGCTGGGGATGGCAAGGCACGGGGGGCTTCCAGGCTTAGGAACTACGGTAGCAGTTCTCTGGCCCTTTCCATGACAGTGCTCCTGGCCTGCTGCCCTGACTGCGGATTCAGGAGACCAAGAATCAAGCACAAGGGCAAAAGGACTTTGCAGCAGAAACGCCCCATGGAGACTTACTTCCACCAACAGAGCTGCAGCGGGCAGCCCTGCCACTCCTCTCAGCCTCATAACCATGACGTTCTCACTCAAAGGCTGTCCATCTGTCCTGCCATCCCGCCAAGCCCTGGAGCCCCACGCTGACTTCCCTTGGAAGAGCCCCAGTTCCCAGGGTGACCTCAGCAACAGCAGGGCCCACGGACAGCTCCTGTCCTGAACTTCCTGTCACTAGGAAGGGTCTGCCTGGCCTATGGAAGTTATAATAACACAGTCTCTGTTTCTGAGCAAGCGCCGTCAGTGAAGTCATTGGATGGCTCTCTTTGCAGAGGGTCCAATCTTTTCTGGCTGCCTTTCTGAGTGCTGGGCTCCCAGTCTACTTTGGTCCCTCTCTTCTTTGCCTCGTTCTGGGACTTCCATGCCATAAATCTGAGCCACCCCCTCCCCGCCAAGTGCCTGATCCCACCGGCAGGCAGACAATTCAGAATTAGCTGTGGTCATGGTTGTCCAAACTGACAAGCAGGGAAACTGAGGCACAGCAGGCCGTGGGGCCTTGTCCCACCTCCCACAGTGACCCAGCAGCACAGCTGCCAGCAAGGCCCAGGGTTCTGGCTGGGACCTTAACTTTGGAGCTCTTGGGGAAGGCCGGGGCCATGTGAACTGTTTCAAAGCTTTTACTGGGCCCCACTTGGCTACAAATCCCAGGGCTGTGTGGCAAAGGGGATTGTGATGGGAATGCAGTGGGGGTGGGAAGCGTGTGTGTGTGTGTGTGTGTGTGTGTGTGTGTGTGTGTGTGTGTTTGCACACATGCTTTTGTGTGTGGGTGGTGGGTTTGGTGGTGGTGTTTGAAACCCTCCCATGCCTGGAATTTGACAAGCAGAGAATAGAGAAAGACCAGAAAACCCAAAGTAATGAGGGAACGAGAACAAAGGGCCCTCCCAAAGCCATGGTGCAAGCTGTGGGCAAAAAATGTCTTCCTGTTTCCCATCCAGAACCCCTGCGCCAGGCCCAGCAGGCTGGCTGGTCGAGCTGGTTTGGCCGGTCCAGGGCCACTGCCAAGGCTGGACTCCTGCTCCCCGACCCTCCTGCAACCTCAGGCCTCCCTGGGCGCAGGCTTTGAGCTCTGAGGAGGGGACTGGGGGAGACAGGGGCCAGTGAGAGTTTCAGACACTTTCTAGGTGCCCGAGGGGACCTGCATATTTCCTATGTAAAGTTCAGTCTGTTTGTAATTAGACTTCTCTTTGCTTATTTCCGGAGAGATTAAAAATAGTGAAATCAGCTTAATCTGGGACTCTCTGAGATCAACACGGCCACTGTTTCCATCGGTATGAAAATACTAAGCAGTCCCACCCATAGTCACGGGTCATGCACCCAGCAGGCCCAGCAGGCTTTCTGTAACGCAGGAACTTTAAGTTGTGTGCACCCTCAACAGATCAGGCTCTTGTTTCTGGATCCCAGCAAGCGTAGCTTCTTTTCAACCTCAACTAAAAGAGAAGGGATGCAGTGCTGCTTTGGGCCTGAAACTCTCTGTCTTTCCTTCCAAATAGGCTTAGGTCACAGGCCCTGTTAGCCCATAGTAGCACTCTGCCCTCGCATCGAAGTTTTCTCTCCAGATGAGAATATTCTTTAGGGCTTAGAGATGATGAGCCAGGTCAAAGCCTCTGATGATGTCTGCTTGTGTGTAGAGACAGACATAGGGACAGGGACAGAGAGACAGTGACAGGCATGATGGGGTGGAGAGAGAGAGAAAGAGAGAGAGGGATCGATCCTATTGGTTTTATTTCTCTGGGGAACCTAGACTAATACACTAGGACTGGGGAGAAAAGCAGGTTAAAGTTATTCCATGATTAACAGACATTTCTATTTATTCATAAGGAAAGGGAACAAACTATTTTTCATTTGTTTTTTGAGACAGTGTCTTGCTATGTAGTTCAGGCTGGCTTTTTTTTTTTTTTTTGGCCAGGCTGGTCTCAAACTTGCAACAATCCTCCTGCCTCAGCCTCC